GACCGCCTCCTCCGTTTAAAACCGATAGTGACCCCGCTGCTAGCGCACATCATCGTGTAAATCTTCCGTTGCCGTCAATGTGCTGCTACGCTCTCAGCCTCCGGAACCCGTGGTGTGTGCAGGTTATGATCGCTGAGTTTTCACAGTCGGCACCGCAGTTTCCCATCAGTTTGTGTGGCCCTTGGTAACGACTTAGCCGGTATAGCGTTCGATATTTTCAATGCCATTGAGGAACGGGTGGCTGAGTTTTACGAAAGACTTCTTCACGCTCTTGAAAGCGGGGAGGGGGGGTGGGGACCATCAGCAGATTGGAGATTCATTTTACTACTGCACTTTTACATTTTTAGAAATTTCTAATTTCCTCCTACCCTTGGTATTGTCCTTCTTTATTTTCGTCCAAACAGTTTTCGCTTCTTTCTCGTCTCTTATTTTAATTTCCTTCGTTCTTCGGCTCTTTCTCCCGTCTGAGTTCCTTTTCACATTCTCAGTTTTCCCTCCTTTCTCGTCCCCCATTTTTCCGTGTCATTTATCCCCACTGCCATTCTTTTTTAGTTCTATTCTTTCATATTCAGTTCCTTTTCTGTTATTATGCAATTCTTTCGTCTGCTGATCTTTTGCTAATTATCTTTCTTAATTATTCAACAATACTTTTGATTCCCTACAGCTTCCTTGCGAGTTCCTTCATTGTGTCCGTTCTTATTTTCCTCAGTTATCCTCATTTCCTTAATTCTCGTTCATTCCTTTCCTTTAATCTTCATTTTCTTCCTCGTCGGTTCTTTAAAAATTTGAAATGTAAGTAAGAAGCTACCATCTTCAGGTCAAATGTACAATAAATCGCATAAACGAAGAAGCTTGCTAGTGGATACAATAGCGTTGTTGTTCTGGTTTGTATCCTCGCCATCTTGGACTAACGGCCTCTGACACAGTAGCCAACAGTGATGATGCCTGACGTTACAAATCACTATCGTGAACGGCTATTACCAGTAAGCGACATAATAGCCCAGAAGCAACGGATCTACTCATTACCTTGTGATAGTTTTATGCAAGTAATTATAAATTTGCATATATGCCCTAAAATTATGCACAAAATATGTAGGCGTAAAAATTATTTTTTAAAGCTTTCGTTCATAAATTTATTTTAATTAGTTTCTTCTTTCAGACGTCCTTCAAGAAGCTAATAAACTTCGTCCCCTAGTGACTGTGTCGGTGGACGAAAGGTAATTGCTCAGTTTAACATATTGCATATTTTACATATTCATATGTAGGAAAGGACTGGCGCAGCTGAAACCATGATCGTTTTTGATACTGTCTGCATCTTTCATTCTAAATATAGCAGTGCTGGATTTTGTGATGATGACGTTTTGAAACGTTTCTTAGCAATCGTTTTGTCAATACTGTCTCAGTAACGGGTAATAGCGAAGTAATCTCAGGTTAGAAGAGCAAAAATAATGTACTGCTTGAATGAGCTGATGTCGACCGACCACTGCATTTTAAACTTCTTGCCAAATCTTTCGTCCATCAGCATTCGCTACCCGTTGGTCGCTGACGCGTTAAGACATTTTCCCCGATATTACATTATAGACGCTGTCACTGATATGCTCGTGGATGGCATCCTGCAGTTACTATATTGGTCAGTACGATGAAATAGGCATTTAAACGAGGAGAATATAAATTTTGCATCCACCAATCATAATTTTTGTCATAGTCTATTCTTCAGAGGGGTAGTGTCAGACTTTCACAGCAATCATGACTACGTGATTCATAACAAACTATTCTTAAAGGCCAATTTCGAATTTTCAGTACCTGTCCTTCTTGCATTTATATGATAGACGCTCGGAAACAGAAAACATTTTTGGTTCTACGTTTACTTGACCAAAACGTTTTATGGGCGAAGAGCGCTTGGCGGCCAGCACCGAAGTATTACTTACGTGACGCAAGCTTTGGCACACCGAAACCAGGCGGAATCAAAAGTGCAACAAACTGGAGGCGTTAACGCTGGGCGGCTACCGGTCATCGGGTCGACAAATATTAAATCAGTAGAAAGTAAATTAAGGTTCAGTAAATAACGCTTCAAGTTTTTGATTCTGCGCTTATAGTTATGTAGATAGGTTTTTGAAGGATTCATGGTTCAGAGCACCAAATGCAACAGATGGTAATGTTTCTATTTACATGGATCGTGGCATCATTAGGGCTAGGCTAAGTACAGAATCTGTTGATACTCTAAACCATGAATTATTCAAACACCTATCTAAATTAAAGTTCGTTTGGCATATTAATTTAAAAGCTGTGCAATCGTTACATCATCTGCCTTTGTAATAGTTGCCAGCATCGTGTAGCCACTGGCTGAATTGGCGATCGTTCGTTGTGTACTGCAGTCATATTGTCCACTGCTTCCGATTGGCCAGCGGATGTTTTCTGTTTATTACAGTATTTTGGACCTGAGACCATTCTAGATGACATGTTGCCTCGCCGCAGTATTGTCAGAATTTTGTAGAATCGCTCTCGGTAGTCATATTATGCTGAGATATGTTTGCTTGCCTTAAACGTTTCCTTTTTTTGAGTGGTTTTTCTTCTGGTTCGCCTGTCGCAGACACATGGGTTCTTATCTCGGTTAACTGCATTGACAATTTTGTTTTTAATTCATCAAGCGTTATATATAAGAAAATTCGTTTTTTTGTAGTCTTTATGATGCGACGTGTATTTTGTGTGAGAAGAAAGTCCATCGGCTTCCGGTGGTCAATTCGGTCACTGGAAATATTCTGTACATATTAACGCACAAAAGAATCCTCAGGTTTCTCTACGTATATGTATGGTGGCTGTCGTTTTAATTTTTCAGTGCTTTAACGTGCGCTTTACAGATAAACAAGGCACCGCAGCCAGCGTTCTTGAAGAAGACTCCTAAAGAGCTTAACATTGGCACCTGGGAATCGATTCATACGGTATGTATGATTCCCGCGGTGACAAACGTCCATTGTTCTGAAGCTGTTTCTTTCTAGATTGAACAGACTACAACGTTGATTGAGATTCTCGATCGTTTTCTCACGCATCGAATTTCAGCGTTGCCCGTAGTGTCATCAGAAGGCAAGGTAGTCGATATCTACGCGAAGTTCGACGTTCTGAACCTTGTTGCGGATACGTCGTTCGATAATTTGGACATTACCGTCAAAGAGGTGCTAAGCCGTCGTTCTCAGGTATCGTACAATGGTTTGCACTGAACATTTCGTCTTGTTTCAAAACGATCGTCGCTGTGTGACGTTGCGGGAACTTTGTCCCTCGATTTTGTTATAGCTGTATGAAAGTCGAAGCTGAACTTGAGTTTGATCGTGAACAGTTGAGCTATGAATTAAGATCTGTTAAACCGTTTGAGATGAATGCTTCGACTCTCATACAGTTTATATGGGCAGTACTGAAGAAGTGTCCCCTTATTCTACTTTATTCTCTTATTTCTTCCGTATTGCTTTGGCCATGTGATTGCTGAGTTATCACAAGATTAGCTCGTGTTTGTGACCATTCCCGTTCCGTATTCATTTGCTAAAAGCCATCTCCCGTATCTTTGATCATCGCCCTTGTTGCAAGACCCTATTCTGGGAGGTTTGTATTCATATGTGCCAGTTAAGGACCAGTTGTGAGAAGTTCATTGACATCTGACCGGGTTAAACTTCGAAACAGTTGCAGAACACATGGTAGTTATTCGACTTGTGCGACGGAAAGGTTGGGCACAGTCTACCTATTAACCTCCAACGATAGCGTCTAAAGTCATTAATTTGTTCATGGATTCTTTAACCATACTAAACGCAATATATACTTCGTTTATTAATGCGCAGTGCAAAAAACTGACCTATAGGACGGCAGATCACGACTAACGTCTCGTCCGGCTGCTCGTATCTGCCGGGCGTTATTAAGGTAAGAAATATACTTCCGACTGAAGCCGTATCAGCCGCTACTCCTGAACTGTAACCGATAATTATCACCACTATTCTGTAACTTGAAGATGACCCATCAGACGTGAACAGAAACGTCGGTAATTGTTTGTCACCTAATGAACAACCGCCTTTCGTCGTATTTTTATAAGAACGACTGCGGTGAAACAAGCGATTTCGTCATGCCATGCACCTGGCAATCGAAAATGACAACTAATCACGGAAAAACGCATGATTCGAACAAATGTTGCATCGGTTATATTACAAAAAAACGAACGCTGAATAGCATGTTGCACGTCCATGAACGGTTAGGACACAATTTCGTTGGATGACGGTGGCATTTGACATGAATTGACACGCAGCGGAGAAGCGTAAAATGCACTTGTTGTGAACTTCCTTGATCCAGATCACTTCCTATGCTGTGAATACGGAAAGTGTGTTGAAAATCTTTCAGATGTGTTAGTAAGCACCGGAGTTAGTAAGTCAAATTGATACATAGTTGATGTAAGATAGCTGACAGTCATTTTGCCGGTGCTTGTCAACGACTAACGGTTACGCAGTCATGATCAAGATTATTTTCTTGAACTATTGCTGACCTAACAATTAACAACGAACTGTTTATTTCCGTATTTATAAGTGAATGAATCAGTTAATTTCATTGCTTGACTGAAGACGCAGTTACAGTTACAAAATTCGTTTCTCCATTTTAGACGAATCGTCACATCAGCCATTTTAGAATGACTCATACAGACTTTTATTCGATCGTCAGACAAGAGGACATTCCAAAAACGATGTGTCGATTTGCGTCTCACAGACCTTCGGTTCAAAATTTCTTTTTGCTGCAAATTTTCAGCTGTATTTGATTCTCTTCTTGAACGGAGGAAGCACTTTTTACTTTGAAGAACATAAATATAACTGAATACGTACTGAAGCATCATTGGAGGTGTATGATCGTAAATTTCTAATTATATTTTACTGTCTGACACGCCTTACCGTATATTCATAATCACATTATAAAAAAATACACAACTTCTGATTGTACTTCAAATCCTACACTCTAATGTTATCTAATGTAGGATATCTCTATCATTTGCAAATTTTATAGCAGTTGATGTTTATCGGTTTTAAGTGAATCGATTTTCTAGTGGTTCGAAGGAGTTCGCAATTGTACAGACACGGACAGCTTGGAAGCGGTCATTGATTTATTGGTAAAAGCAGAGGTTCATAGATTAGTTATCGTCAATATCCGGAATGAAGTGAAGGGCATCGTTTCTTTGTCAGATATTTTATCGTTTTTGGTATTCAAGTCTGAAGGTACGATTAGACCGTTTGTTTTCGTTAGACTTATTGTTTTGTTCCAGAAGTAGATCTTCAGCCTTAAACGCAAAGAACATACGGAAATTATAAAGAATTTGCCGTGTATTTGACATTTTTGGTTGTTTTTAATCTGCTTCGTTTACGTCTGGCCTGTTGTGACATTTTTTGCATAACGCCATGATTTGAAATGGTTTTATCCAGTTCGTTTAAGCTTTTTGTGAGTAAACGCAGATATTGTTATTAAACGTGACGAATAGGTTATTTGTTCACTTTCCTAATTTAATCTATCGAAAAGTAGAATTATTGGTGATTGAGTTTTTTGTTATGCGTTGTGGATCATAGATACAACTGAAAACTGTATAAAATAAGAATATTGAAGCAGTTTCCATCGTAGAATATGGCAAGTTAGTCATCTAGTATAATGCTTTAAAGGATTGGTCCCCGCAACCGCTTGTGCAGTTACGTTTTCACCAGTTTCCTCTGTTTGGTAAACCCCATTGCTACACTCACTGCCAATGAATTGAACGATG